GAAATTGTTTAAATGCCAAAACCGATGCAGGTGGATATGTTATTGGACCAAAACGTGTTGCAACAAGAATTTATCGTGACCGAAAAAATCTTTCAAACTAATTTAAAATATTCTTATCTATATTAATTATTATAATAATCAATTACTAACAAACTTTATGTTTATTTCAATCTGAATGTTGAGAATAAATCGGTGAAGTTGAAAAATGACGAAAACCAACATGAAATATAAGACGTTCTTTTGATTTAACAATTATTTCACTGTTATTTGTACGATTTAAGACAATATTTAATACTGATAAACACTGTTCATGTGGTAAAAGATCCGTTACAAATAATAGATGAGCAGGTTCTTTTAAAAAAAAAATAACAACAATTTTTTTTTCTCGAGTATTTGATTTTTTATAAAAAATTTTTTTCTTACCAATTCTACTGATGGGCACATCTTTTACATAAAGAGTTACGTAACTATGCACCTGTAACAAATATACAAATTAAAATAAGTATTTCATCAGATAAAATCTTTGGAAAAAAATCTTCGGTAAATATAATCATTAAAAAGTTAATTACATTTATATAGAACACAAAACTTTTGTTCATTCTTAAATATATCAAACATTGAAAATCTACCTGCACGAAATCATAAATTTCAACAATCAGATTATCACTCTCTAACCTTTATTCTTTTTTTACTGTCAAGCTCAGTCAAAAACTTATCTTTTGCTTCGAAATTGAATAAAAAGATTTATTTGAAAAAGAACTGAAAAAAAGTCGTATTAGATGCTCAGATTTTGATTTAAATAAATTGTGAATTATCGATTTGATCAATCATAAAATTTGTTCTTTGATCAGAAACGAACTTATTTAGAAAAAAGCAATTTATTATTTGTTGACTAATGATGATAGGTCACTGTCAAAAACACTTTTTTTCTTCTTTTCAATTCTGATCAACAACATTATTCAACATATTTACATTTAAGAATAAAATCAATTTTTTTTCAGAAATCTACAATTATCTATTTATCGTAGAATATTTAGATTTTAGTCATTAATTCGACAATATTATCAATCTGCTAAAATTATTCGAAATTTAGTTGGAGAAGACGATCGCAACTACTTTCAACAAATCTTATTGAAAATAATCGGATAGATTATCTTTTACGAGTATTCGCACTTAATTAGAGATAAACAATGTTAGATTTTAGATTTTGGTAAATAGAGACGATCATAGCTCTGCTGAGAAAAATTGATAAAGAATTGTCAAGGAAAGAACAATCAC